CAAATGACTCGAAAAATAAAGCTGAAAAGGACATTACCAAACAGCAAGGCGCCCTGTTGGCAGATAACTCATTGTCTCAACCACGGTGAAACCTGTTACCTCTTTTAAATTGACCAGCTTCTAACATGTTGTCTCGAATCTCTTTGTATCTTGTGACCGCTTCACACGTACACCTCCCCCAGTCCTTGCTTTCACCTTACAAATTGCAGGTTCATCATAGGTGGCTTAAGCGTTACGGCGCCTTCAAAATACTGTTTCTATAAAATATCAATATTTCCTTCTCTTTATAAATATATACATAAAATTCATTAAAATTTTTCTCAAAGAAAATTAAAAGATTAAGGCATAATTCTTGAAGAAGTATATGAACTATTTTATAAATTTAAATAAATTTTTATAATTAATGATTGATTAATTATTATTATTTAAAATATTTTTATTATTTTATATTTATATAATTTTATTTAAAATTTTTCTAATAACATAAAAATATTTTTATATTTATTTTTTATTATTATAATCCTTTCGACCAATTCCGGTGTCATTTGACAGGAATATAGAACCCAATAATTGATTTAAATAATAATATGAATATAAAATAAGGCATTACCTGGACGACATTTTTTCGAAGAAAACTAAAATTGGACAAAGGAAAAAAGAAAAAACATTTCCCAACGACGAAACACAATCCGAAAAAGACATTTCCCCTCCTTTCGTTCCTCTCTTGTCCAGTGAGTTTGCTTCAGTTATACGATAGCGTTTTCCAATGAGGAAGCCAGTCAAACAGCATACCTTACTGAGAACTAGTATTTTTTTTAATTAAAATAATTACTGCCCAGAGATCATAGTATAAAATGGAAATTGCTGGTGTTAGTAACTGTCATTCCGTTCATATTATACATTAGATTCAGAACCCTGGAATTCAAGTCATTTGATTCAGATTCGTCCTTCCTTATTTCGTTTCAGAACAAAAGCTCCATGAAAGTTCTATTTTCTTCCCTTAATGATAGTGATTTGGGTTATCGAAATTAAGTGAAAAAGTTGTGATCATTCTTGAAGTGGGTTTTGTTATTCTTTGGTGTTTATAGAAATGGGTTTGATGGAGATATCAATGCTGCATCATGTGGGAATAGTTTTGATGTTCCTTTGGATGCTTTCGTACTTCAATCTTTGCCATCCAGTTACTTATTTTGTGTCTCTCATTTATCTCTACTTGGTAAATCTTTCCTTTTCTTCTTTTTTTCATTGACTTCTTTTCTTTTGGTTTGGAATTGGCATTTTTTGGGTGGAAATTCCTTTTATTCTATAAATTTTTTGTCTGATGGTTTCATTTCTTTGTTAATTAAAGGTTCATGAAAGGTATGTTATGAGATTGAAGAGGAAATTGCAGTTTGAGGAAAAAAGGCAATCTTCTAGGAGAAGGGTATTACTCAATTTCTCTTTTTATTTTGTTTTAAAAGTATTGTTGTATTTTGATCGTGATTGTTTGAATTATCAGTCATTTTATATAACTTTTTATCTGGGTTATTCTGATTCTTAATAGGTTTTCATTTTCAAATATCTAAAAGTAACATTCAACTTTATCAAATCTTTTTCTTTTCTTTTTTAAAGGAGGTTTTGCATTCTTTTTTGTTGGCTCAAATGGCTGCTTTTGTTTATCAATATTGGTCTTTCGGATATAGAGAAAAGGTTTGGAATTTAGTCTTTATGAAAACATGGATAAGCATCTGCCTTGCAACTTTATCAGGGTCAAGTTTTGGATTCTTGATTTTGATATTGTAAAATCTGTTCCTTTAATGCTTTGTTGGTCTTTTATCTCCAGGTACTTTCTGATTCTGAATCAGTTCGGTGGTTAAACCATGCTGTTGAAAAGATATGGCCTATTTGTATGGAACAGATTGCATCACAGAAGATTCTGCTTCCTATCATACCTTGGTTCTTGGAGAAGTACAAACCGTGGACTGCTGTATGAATTTTTCTTTCTTAGTACTTTTGTTTCATGTTCTTTTCTTTCATTCTCTTTATCTCTTGAAAATCATTACATAAAGATTCTGTTTTAGTGCAAATTCCAATTTTTGTTAAAGTGGAGGCAACATCAGTTGATCCCTGCTCGTTTCATACCATTCTAGCTTATAATACCTTTTGTTTTATTTTTAATTTTATATCCAAGTCTGAACACAGTATAAATTAATGAGCGGTGAATAAAAGGGAGTTGGGGGTGGGGGGGGGGGGGGGGGGTGCGCGCGGGTTTCATGAACAAAGTATAAAGTATGAGCATCTGAATTTATGTACCTTTTAATTTCTGAATTTGTGATACCTATGGCATGAATAGAACTCTATAGCACTAATTGAGCCTACAGGCTCAACATTGCTTTATGCCTGTGAAATTACTTTCAATGACCAGCAGATGGTTATTTTCAGATCCACTTTGTGAGTTTTGATGTTAATGCTGCTATGAATGCAGAGAAAAGCCATGGTGCAACACTTATATTTGGGAAGAAATCCACCTTTGTTCACAGAGATGAGGGTTCTTCGTGAATGCTCGATGATGACCACTTGGTATATGTTTCCCCAATCCCTGTCTGTGTAATCATTCTAGCTATGATTTGTCATTTCAAATTTGCCCATAGTAGAAATTACAATGTAACGCACGCAGGTACTGGAGTTGGGAATGAATTTTCTTACAGCAGATGACATGAGTGCAATACTTGCTGTGAAACTAAGGAAAAGACTAGGATTTGGAATGTGGGCAAAGTTGCATATAACAGGCATGCATGTTGAAGGAAAGGTACTGATAAATATGGAATAGTTAATTTTACCAATTATTTACTATTCAAGTTGCACATGGAAAGAGGATGGATATGAAATTTTATGGATGCAATACAGAAAAGGGGGATGCATCTGTACCTCTGTTGGAAGAGGTATGGAAGGGCTAGTAGGGCTTGAAAGAAATGAGAGTATACCTGTATAAAAGTAGGAGTTGAAATTGATTATATCTATGATCTATCAATGAATTTAAATGATCAAAAGTCTAACTATAAGCCTACCAGAAGTAAGGTTTCAATTTATTGTGGAAGATCTATTAAGAAGAACGAACTGTCTTGTGGACTGCTATTCGTATGATTGTGCTGATTATTAGTTTCTACCAGAGGAGTTTTGGGTCAACATAACACCTTTTGTGTAGAGTATGAGACATGGATACTCGTGTCAAGTCCTTTCTGTGGACAAGGAGGAATGTAAACTAATTGAGTTTAAGGATGGTAGACTATGTCTGGATTTTGAAACTTTTATACACTGTTGGATTTCTTAAGATTCAAGACATGGCATCACTTAGTTCTTGTCCCATCCCACCCCTTGTGAACACTCATTTCCATGGTAATTAGCATTATTACTCTTTTGCGCTGTCTTGCAGGTTTTGATTGGGGTGAAGTTTCTCCGGCAGTGGCCTTTCCTTGGCCGTCTACGAGTATGCTTTGCTGAGCCTCCATATTTCCAGATGACTGTGAAACCCATCTTTACACATGGACTTGATGTTACTGAACTTCCAGGGATCGCCGGATGGCTTGTAATAACTCCTTTTTTTTCTCCAGAATAAATCTTCAAGATCTATTTCCTCATCTATCACATTCTCCCAATCTTACTGTGTATCATCTTTTGCTTGGCTAGGATAAGCTCCTCTCGATTGCATTTGAGCAGACCCTTGTTGAGGTTAGGTTTTAAACCCTGGTGCTGTACAAAAGTGATTTTTTTTATCTCCATTGTTTTCTAAGTTTCCTAGTCATGTTCCCTAAGTCCTCCATGTCATAAATTCCATCTTATATGCTGCAAATGAATAATGCCAATTCAGGATGCACTAACAGGTTTAAGTTATAAGCAGTACTTCTCTGTGGATTGAACTTTAGCTCTAAATTTTTCTCATTTTGCAGCCCAATATGCTGGTTGTTGATGTTGAGAAGTTTGCTTCACCCCAGCCAGGTAATTTAGTCATTATCGTCCCCATTTTTCATGCACTCTTATATATATATATATATATATTAAGTTTTGATTTCATTTCTGATTTTATAACCAGTTAACTATTCTCATGAGTTAGTACATGTTTTGGCATAATATATTGAAGCTATGAGACTCATTGGCTCATCATGTTGCTTAGTGTTGAGAGTGATTGTAAGACACAGTTTGAGTCTGACATTGGTATATTTAGCTTTTTGAAGGTTTGCCTTATATTTGGAGGGTCATCCGCCTTGCCCACTATGAGGTGTTGGATACGTGTATGATTTTTTGGGTACTTAAGGAAAAATGAAGAGTTGGAATGATATAGTTTATGCTTGCTTAATGTTGGTTTTTTTTTTTTTTTCAATGGAAAGGAATGATCATCAAGGCTAGAGATGCATTGATTAATTAAGACTAGTTTTCTTTTGTTTACTTTTCCTTGCTTATATGTTAAAAGTTTGCCTTGTCACTGAATATATATTGCAGAAAACTGGTTTTCTGTTGATGAGAAGCAGCCTCTTGCTCATGCCAAGGTTGAAGTTATTGAAGGATCTGATATGAAACCTTCAGATTTCAATGGTTAGTTTTAAATCTAGTTCTTATCTTTCACTTAGGCAGTATCTGGTTTATGCTCAATGGGTGGATATAAATTTTCAGGGTTGGCTGATCCATATGTGAAGGGGCAACTTGGCCATTTTAGATTCAGGACAAAGACACACAAGAAAACTTTGTCTCCAAAATGGCATGAGGAATTTATGATCCCTGTCTGCACGTGGGAGACACCAAATGTACTAATGATTGAAGTTCGTGACAAAGACCATTTTGTTGATGATACCCTTGGGTTGTCTCTGAACCTTATAAATAACCATTTTGTGTAGTTATTACTTTATTATGGATACTTTTTTGAGGCTCATGTCCTTGCAGTACGCTATGTGGATTGCTTTTTTGTTAGCCACTACTGCTGTCTATATAGCATCCTTTGCAAAGAATATTGTTTCTATGAAATTGAAGTAAGTGTATTTAGGCATTTCATAGATATTAGTTTCCTGACCTTGGCCTATTGAGGTATAAACTTATTATTCCTTTTGTTGTCACTGGATAAAACAATAATGATCCTAGAAAAGTTTTCTTGTTTTTATTTTTTGTCTAGTTTGACTAAATGATTATACTATTTATTGTTGTTGTCTTCTTAATGGTATTGTATATTTTGTGTCCTTGTAGTCTCTCTCTCTCTCTCTCTTTCTTTACATTTGAGTAGTTTGATGTTTTTCCAGCAATAATCCATGAGATTTGATATCTTCTATTGTTGCTTTTGTGGTGTTAATCTTAATTTCTTTTGGCTTTTGCCATTGTCAATTCAGTTAGCAGTTGCTGGAAATAGCCATCTTATGTTTCTTAGTATATTTTCTGCGTACTTTGTTTTCCCATTTCATTTCAACATGTTTGCAAGTTCTTCTTCTGATGTACTCTTTTGTTACAATTTGCAGTAAATGCACAGTAGATATTAGTGATTATAGGGGTGGCCAGAGACATGACATGTGGTTGCCTCTTCAAAATATTAAAATGGGAAGACTGCATCTTGCAATAACAGTGCTTGAAGATAATAGTAAGGTAATTTATTTTAGGTGCTATTACTCAGCCGCTGAAAGTTTGAAGGTTTTTACACACAATCTTGAATATGCAAAATGCTTTTATGAGTTAAAGAGATGTGCAGAGAAACTTAATACTAAATCTGTGGACAACTACACAGGGGAGAGACGATGCAGTTGATGGTGAATTATTAAACAAGGAAGATATACAGAACTCCTTTGCAACTAACACTGCTGATAAAGGTCCATTCTCGCCTTCATCTTCAAAGAAATCTCCAAACCTGCCAGATCATTTTGAACCTATAAATGTTGAAGGACAAGAAGAAACTGGGATATGGGTGCATCATCCAGGAAGTGAAGTGTCACAGACTTGGGAACCCAGAAAAGGGAAGGCTAGAAGCCTTGAGACACGGATTCATAGAGTGCCTAATGATTCTTTTGGGAGTACCCTTTCAACAGCATCTGGATCCCCTAAAAGTGACCGTAGTAGTGCTGATGAAAATCCAGAAGCAAAGGATCGAGTGAACAGAGTTAAGTGGGGTTTTCAAAAGATCAGTTCTGTATTTCAGAGGAGTCCCAAAAGTGAGGGTCACTCAGGCAGCCTTGGAGAGGTGGTTCAATCTCCCCATGTGAACCTCAGAGCAGTTAATGACGAGGAGGTTTTGGTGAAGTTGGTAGTAGATGACAATCTTTCAGTGCCTTCTTCTGACAAGGTCTCAAATGAGGGAAGCTTGAGTCCTGTGGGAAGTGGTCCTGAAAGCCCAAGCAGAATGAAGGGTATGGCAAAGAGTATTTTAAAACATGCTGGGAAATCTGCTCGTAGCATTAAACATGTTCTTTCCCGTAAAGGGTCAAAAAAGTCCCGGGATCTATCAGCTGTCAAAGAGCAAGAGCTTTTAATAGAATCTGACTCCTCTGATGATGAATCATCGTCTTCCCCTGGAGTCAAGAGGATATCAGGTGTTTCCAATCCCGTGTCCAGTTCCAGTGGTATTGATGATACTCATGATACTCAGGAACATGCCATTCTAACAGATTCAAACAACCAAGTAGACCCTGCAATAAATGTTGAGGAACAAGGAGAAAAAATGAGTGTTAAAGGCCCAAATGATATAGATGATGATGAGGTGAGCAGTCCCAGTAAGATCAGAGATGGACTGGTTGAGTCTCCAAAACGTGAGAAAAAGGTAGAAAACTCTTCTAACAATGAGGAAGATTAGGTTTGCTGAGGTCTGTGCATTTATTGAATTTTTGGGTTTTTTTTTTTACATCCATGGATAAATAAATATAGACACAAGTTTTGAAACAGTGATACAGCAATAGGAGTTACATGAATAGCATACCTATAGATGGACCCCCCTTGTAAATCTTCCTGTTTTTCTCCCCTTTGTTATACAATCTGTAATTTATGTAAAATTTGAAAATGAAATAGTTTGTACATGCTAATAAACTACTCTTGAGTGGAAAATATAATGCCCCTATTCCATTTTTCTGGGTTTTTGATGAGTAAGTTCTAGAGCAATATGGCTGTAAGTCTCCTGATGATTGATAGTCAGGGCCATTTGGCTTGGTTCAAACCTTTCAACACTTGCTTGTCTAAGCTGGATAGATTGACATTCTAAAAGCTTATCAATTTTCTCTTGGCTCAAACTTAAGGGGTCAGATTCCTGAATCCTAATAGGCTAATATGCAATGACAAACACACAGGTGACCATTTATACTTGGTCCAAGAATTAATTGTGTTGTGTCAAGATTTTGGCATTACAAAAAAAAAAAAAAAGAATGGTAACAAATGATAATATCAAGAAATTCAAGCACTATTTATGACCTGTTTATTAAATACATTAAACTGCTTGGTGCCCAAGACTCTTTAATTGGGCCTAGTTTTACTTAGATTTTGACATTACATGATACTCTTAACTTAATAAACACGAATTAATCACTTACTTTTATGATTTTTTTTTTGTATTGCTACTATTTTAAAGATCAATTAAATAAATTAGATATATTAAATTTAAAAAATTAATTATTTAATACGATTATGTAAATGAGTCAATACAAATCAATTTATAACTTACAAAAGTTAATCATCATTAATTTGTTGATAAAAAGACAACAATACAAATTTAAAAAACTTATTTACATATTTACTCACTTCCTTTTTTAACTTCTTTTCACTTATAAAAGAAAAAGATTTATTTTGGTTTAGATTTATTTCGATCTTTAACATTTTTTATCTATCGTGAGAATCCCACAATAGTGAAGAGTTTCGATCTCATACTTTTAATATAAAAAATATACTTATTAATTAAAAATAAATTCTTATAAATCTAAAATTTTACTGATGCAAAATCTATTATTTATAACAGAAACCGGCAATATCTATGTAATATTGGAAGGTGGTAATTGTTCTTTTGTTTTTTTTCTTTCATAAATAGAAAGCCCATCGGATCAGTCCACCGTTTGTTTAACAAACCGCCAAAGAGCTGACAGCGAAAGTAATGTACAAGCAACGGCTAACGATAATTCCAAAACCCAGACATCGTGCTTCCCTATACAATACGAAATCAAAGATAACATTGTAAATGAAAATACTCTACATAGCAATAAAATATGCTTTGAATTCTAGCATACGGCTTTGATCTGATCGTTTTCATTTTCCTCAAAAAAAGAAAAAACCACCGCTTTAAGCGGAATTGACAATGCTGAAATTGAGATTCATAAGACCTTGTCTATTTTCTCCTCCTTTTAATCATTCTTCCTTCAGTTTCTCTCCAAAGCAACCCATCAGTTTTGCTCTGCGATCACGAATGGGGTCAGACACGACGTCGTCGCAGTCATCTTCGGTTCTCTTGTTTCGTCAGTTGTTTGAGAAAGAATCCTCTACCTACACTTACCTCCTTGCTGATTTCTCTCACCCTGATAAACCAGCCCTTGTTAGTATTTTCTTTGTTTATGTTTATGTTTTTCTCTTGGATGTAAATTCTGGGTTTTGTTTGTTTTTGGGTTTTTAATACTCTGTTGTACGATGAAATGATTTGTGCAGTTGATTGACCCTGTAGACAAAACGGTTGATAGAGATTTAAGTTTGGTTAGAGAATTGGGACTGAAGCTTATATATGCTATGAACACTCATGTACATGCTGATCATGTCACTGGAACTGGTCTCATCAAGGTTTTCTTATCTTTGATATCTCAATTTTACTCTACACTGTTATTTCTTATTTTAGCTTATTGGAGGAAGAAATTCTATTACATCAAACTTCGATTTTTTTTCCCTAGTACGTGTTAAAGGCCATCATGTTTGAGTCACGTAAGAGTTAGTTTTCTCCTATCATATAAGTCTCAATCTCCCTTCCCAAACTTCAAACCTGCTATTGCCAATTTATGTACGTAAATGTGATTGTTTCTTGTAGGGCAAGGTACCTGGCGTTAAATCTGTTATTTCAAAAGCGAGTAGTTCCAAGGCTGATGTTTTTGTTGAACCTGGCGATAAAATCTGTTTTGGGAATCTCTTTCTTGAGGTAAGCATGCATATGCCCAACTGCTTGTGTGGTCAGTTTCCTTGTATGCATGCACCTTTTGAATAATGCTAGAGAAAATAGCTATGATCTTTATGTGGTATTCTGTTAGCACAATGGAGTCAGAGATGTGACAGAGTGAGGAGTGTACTTGTAGATACCATTATCAGCATTCTAATGGCATTTTTCTTTAATTAATATTTTTATTTTGTTGTTTGGTTGGACCCTAAAACTGCAGTATGGTGTAATGACCAGTAACAAAATAATGGCAATTACATCTACTGCTGTAAAAATCAATTCCTTAGCTTACGGATGGAGAATGCAGTTTCACTGTATTCTGTTTGAGTTCTTGGTCATTGCATATGCAGCTGCTAGAATATTCTTACCCCAGAGGAGCAGAACACAATCACTTTATTTGATTCCATTCTAGTCCCTACTCCAGTCCATCAGATTGCAGTTTCCAAGATGGTTTATCCAGTTCCTCCTAGTTTAGTTTGAGAATCAGAATTTTGATGCGACCAACATATAAATTTTTTCATGTTAACTTTGCCAATTAAATGCTGGAAAAATTGTTTCTTTATTTTTTTCCTGAGAAAAGTAGCCCTGACTTCATAGGGTAGCTTTTGCTGTTAGAAATATAATCGACGTTAATTGTGATGTTTATTGAATTGATCAAAAATTTAGGATCCAACTAAATCACAATCTGAATAGCATGAGAATCATGATTCTTTATGAACTTGACAACATTGCAGTAAGCATAACTGGTATAAATGACTGGAGATGCCTATTCCTGACAGTCTCACATGTAACATTAATTTTCCCTCTTGACTGCTGAGCTATTAGCAAATTGCCAGTTTGCCATTGGCCTTTAATGGGTAACCAACTTCCTATCCGATGCTTAATACAACAGAATATTTTCCTCCACTACCTTTTTTGAAAGATTGGAGAAAGTACCTACTTGTGATGAAATTTGATTTATGGAAGGTCCATCATTTAAGGATAAATATTGATATACAAGTTAGTGTAGATTCCTGGTTCATATACTTGGTGAAGATTCTGTAGAATTTTGAAACAAGAACTTGCATTTCTGGAGTTTCTAAATGCAGAGTGTTTTGAAAACTTGTTTTAAGAAATATGGCTGCATGTATGATATGATTGGAATTGCATTGATCTATGAAGAACAACGAATGGTCAATGCGGAAAATATTTAATGTCACTACGAAGTTGTGCCAGACTGATCTAGACTTCTATATCATAAACTATATTCTAATTGATATGCATAAATGCAGGTTCGTGCCACTCCTGGCCATACAATGGGCTGTGTTACCTATGTCACAGGAGATGGACCTGATCAGCCTCAGCCAAGGATGGCTTTCACAGGGGATGCTCTGTTGGTAAGGGGTTGTGGGAGGACTGATTTTCAGGTATAATGTTTTGGAATATGGTCTTGCATCTTGATCAACAAAATAAAATGAAGTAATAATAACTTTGTTAACATCAAACGATCAGAATCATTAAAAATGCTCGAAGCAATCTAACATATTAAGTATGTCAACCATCATTGGCTTCCTTATGCATATGAAGATTTTTGTGTGTTCCTATGTGATGCTACTACTAGATACTGAACCACTGATGTTTGTTCCATGTAGAGATTTTGGAATGAATAATTGACTGTTTTGCAATTAAATTTGCAAGCTCTGTTTGTATTTCAGAACAATAAGACCGGATTGTTTTGATATTCATGGGAAGCATGCACCCAGCTGCACATTTTTCTACTCTTCCACATATCAACATTTACCTTGTTATTTGGCTGCACATAGTTGGTAATACTGTTTGCCATTCACAAGCCTGATGGTAAATTAATCATTAATTGAATTGTTAATAATTTGACATTCTGTCTGATCAGTGAGGTGACTGAAACTATTGAGTTATAGGGTATATTCTTTTTGCTGGGTATCACAATGTGCTGGTTGCATATGCAACAGAGATATGCCAACTTCCTTTCATAAGGATGTTGCCATCCATATTTGGGTTGTCTTCTGGGATATCTGTTCTGCTTTATATATGAAGATAATGTTCTTTAGTGCTCCAAGGTTCAGTACCAATTAATTCTTTTTGCAGGGTGGAAGTTCACAGCAACTCTACAAGTCAGTGCATTCACAGGCAAGTATAGGAGATATAGTCATTTACTTTATAATGTCAAGCAAAAGTTTCTTCATAGTTTTTGTTTTTATTTTCCTTGGGGGGAGGAGGGGGGTTTCCTTTGAGATTGCTCAATTCTTTTTTGTAATTATCAGAATTTAAATGAAAAAAGGTTCATTTTTGTTTCATTGGTCCAGATTTTCACATTGCCCAAGGAAACATTGCTATATCCAGCTCATGATTACAAAGGATTCACAGTAAGATATGACTTCATTCCTCTTGTTTCATACATATATAAATGGTTGTTTCTTATATGAAACTCACTGATTATAGGTAACCACAGTGGGAGAGGAAATGCTGTACAATCCTCGCCTAACAAAGGATGAGGTATTCTTTTTTGGAACAATCCATCTTTGTTTTTCTGTGGGAAAGAAATGATCATGTCTGTATTGTCAAATGGAAATAGAACCCTTCATTTCCACTCTTTTTCTCTCTGGTAAGATTATGTGTTGGAACATTTCTGGAGCACCCACTAGTACTGTCTGTGACATAATTAAATAAGTAGCATGTTGCTCAAATTTTAGGCATCCTCTGGAATCATAACAGGGAAAAGAGAGATGGCTTTTTTACTTTTGAAAAATAGAAATATTAAATGATTGACTGCTTTCTTTTGTATAAAAGTTATCTTACTTTTTTTTGGGTTGCGAGAAGGGGTTTCCTTTTGTTTATGAAGACTTGGTTCTTATCTTCAACTCCATTAATTCACTGCATTATCGTTCACCTAATTAAAATTTCAAAAAGTCTGCAAAATGTATTTTTTATGAGGCCAATTCCCTTGGATGGTACTAGTATCAGTAACTCTGGCCAGGGTAAAAATGGGGAAAGACAGTATTCGCTTTAAAACATGTTGATGTTATTGTACATGAAAAATCACGACATTCTTGCATTTGATGGATGATTAGTCTTCATCATGTCCACAGAATTCTCATGTCAATTATTTTTCCTATCAGCATATTGATATTTTTGAAATACGCTTTTGCAGGAGACATTCAAAGGCATCATGGAGAGTAAGTTGATGCTCAATACATCCAGTTTATGGATAACGAACATTTTGCATCTGTGACTAGTTTGCGATGACAACTTCTAATTTCTCCTCTCTTTTTGTTCATTTCTTTTATTGGTGCAACAGATCTTAACTTGCCATATCCTAAGATGATCGATGTAGCAGTGCCAGCAAATATGGTCTGTGGATTGCAAGATTTGGGTTCCAAAGACAGATGAGGCTTTACCGGACTACCACATGCACAGATTTTATTCATATTATAAGCCGGGTCTGTACATGATTTGGATATGCTACATATATGCCTATTAATGCTACTTGATTGTAAAGAATCAAAAAATAAACAATCAAATAAATAAGCAAGGAATAAACAATTGTATTATGTTGTAACTTGTAAGCCTGAAACAGTATCATCTCTCACTCAAACCATCTAAAGTTGCTGGTTTTGTCACCTCACTTCGTATCCGGTCTAGAGTAAAGCTGTGTTAAAGAGACAGTTGCAGACTGAAACTGAGTTCTTGAATGTTTTTTTCTCCCTTCTGAACTGTACAATTGAGTTTGATGTCTAGAGTACTAACAATCTTATTTGTCCCTACCTTTGATGCGAATAATATGCTACGTTGTCCTAAGATATGATATCTTGTTATCTTCTCTATACTTGGCTCTTGTAATTGTCCTTGCAGATTCCCCAGTCTTCAGGTTAAAAACTAGAAGTAAGAATGGTAAGATTACACCAAAACTTTGTTTTTCCATGGACCCCCAACATTTGGTATGGAGAAAAACGCCACTCAAATTCTTCCATGGTGAGGCTTAAAGATGGCTTAATCATAGCTAGGCCACAACCTGATGGGGACATTCATCCATATCCTCTATTATGGACCCACCTAGTTTTAATATTATTAGATAGTTACCAATATAGACCAATTACACAAAATAATTGGATTTTCCTTTCCTTTATCCCAAGGCCTCCTAAGGTGTGACTATTTTTTGTTTATGCTCCAAAGAAGAACTGAAAAATTGAGTTTAAAAGCCAGAATGCAATATATAGTATTGTGAAGCAAAAAGTCCTTCAGCTTTAAGAAACTTTGCCTTTTGGTTTTACCTTTTACTATAATTTATAAAGCACAAACATATCAAAAGACCAAGAAACAGGACTAAAATCCTACAGTTTCTGTGTGTAACCAAGGCATGATTCCATCGCTAAAAGATAGAATTTTGCCTAAAAAAGGTTTACCTTTACTTTTGCTGTATACGTGTATCTTCCAAATTTAATCCATTTTCACACGTAAATAAAATAATAAAAAACAATTCATTGTCTAATGGTTAGTCAAATCCAGAGGACAAAACTGGTAGCCAGACCAGCTTCCCAAATATGATCCCACCACTCATTAACAAAAACCCTTAATATCAAAGTAACAATTTTTTGTTTTTCATATTTCTTTTTTTTCTTTTCTAGCTGATCCATCACCATAAGCAGATCCCAATTCACAACCAAGAACTCCCCAAACCGCAAAGACAAAGGAGAAAATGAGTGGTGAAGAGAAAAAACGAGCTGTAGTTGTAGATCACCAGCACCATCAGTATGGAACTTTCCAAGGAGTAGCCAACTACCCTCCTCCGCCTCCTCCACAGCACCAGCACCATCATCATCAGCCAGCTATTGGGTTTCCTCAGCCTGTTCCACCTCCTGGCCTCCATGAACCCTCTGCTCCTCCTCCTCAATATTACCCCCAACCCCAAGGTTACCAAACTGTTCCAGGTACTATACCCTACAATATAAGCTTTGCTCTGTTGTGATTCGTCAATCAAAAGGAAAAAATTTGGGGTTTGGGTTTATGTTGGATGGAAGAAAAAAGTTGTTTTTTAAGAGTAAAGATCCGTGTTTTTGATGTTTTGGAAGAAAGGGTGTTTAAATATTAGGAGTTCTATGGCTGAGAAATTATACAGAACAGGCATAGATATATAAGCAGCTTTGATCTTCTTCTTCTTTTTTTTTTTTTCATGTAATCGGAAGAACTTTTGATTCTTGGGGATGATTGAAGTTTGTAAAAGCAAGAATTCTGGGATTTGGGTTTTTGATAGATGGAAGAAAAAGAAGGGTTTTTTTGGGGTTGTGACCTGAATAGGGGTGGGAAAGAACTTTTTTTGCTATTATAGCAGAGATGTTTTGCTATAAATTTCATGATAGTTTAAGAGAAATGGAAGTCAATTTCAGGAAAAATGAGAGATAAATGCATAGATACAGTATACAGTCATTAATTCATAAACCAAATCCTTCCACAATAAGTAAAATATCGCAGTGTGATCAGGGTATTTTGACTATCAAGTAGAAAATTACCAATAATGATTAACAAACAACCTTAAACTTGAAGGAAACATCCATAAAACCGTTTAGGAAGTGGTGGAAATCTCTATATTTGACAAACTGATCTTAGATGCAAAAACAAAAGTTCATTTATAATCATGCAAAACGTGCTTCTATCAAATGTCAGAGGATGTTCTATGTGATTAAAAACTTAGGTTGCTAAAACTCATATGAAGAGTGAAAGTTTTGAGCGTCAAGGAAATGTATGGCTAGTTCAGTGTAAGGTTGGTATGTTTTGTAATTCAACTTGGCGTGATCAAGTTTCTTTTCTTGTATATAATTGTATCGATAAGAGTTTTACATGAACTGAAATGATTGTTCTTAATCAACTAAGCATGCATTATATTGGCCAACTAAATGAAAAATTTTTATTCTAAATGTGCTTTCTCCCTTATATCTTTTATGTCCTAGGATATGCTGTCGCTGAAGGAAGACCAGTAAGAGAGCGTCGCCTACCTTGCTGTGGCATTGGTATTGGATGGTTCTTGTAAGTCATAATTTTAGTTTTCCTTGTTTTAAAAGTTTTTTAAAATATAAAGTCAAACAAATAACAACTTAATGAATATGTACATTGACAAATTATTTTCCTTTATCTCCAATTGTCGTGGGCTAAAAACCCCTCTAGACAGGAAAAAAGAGAGAAGTTACAGGTTGAAAAAATGGGAAATTGATATATCTGTACTATTTTGTTGGTCTCCTATTATTGGAAGGTAACTCTATTAGAAAGCTGAGAGGATAGCTATGGTTGATAGCGTTGAGTTTTGGGGGGGTATGAAGAGACCTGTTAATGGGACAAGTATGATCATGATGAGAATGTTTTGGAGGTGGATGTGTGTGGATACAACAAAATACAGGATAAGAAATGCAAGGCAGAGCCAGCATCAATTGAGGCTTACTTGAATATGACTTACTAAATAGTTTTTTCCTTTGCAACTGCAAATGAGTTGGCAATCAGTTAATTACACTATGTTCACATTTATGCTTGACGCAATAAACATAGGCGAAATGTATAACTCTTTATGTCACCTTAAAGTTCCCATGTCCATGAAACAGTGTTCTTAAGGAAAAGGCTGCGAGACACCCCAAAATAATGGAAATCTTCTAAAATGGATTCAATTGACACTTGGATGTGTACCCAAAACCCCATATTGTTACCCAATCCACATGACATAATAGTTTTATACAAATCCATGTAATATATATTGTTATCTTGATTATTTTCTGCATTTGTAGTATTGTTAAATATTTTATGAATATTATTTTTTTCTTGATTTAAAGGTTTATCATTGGTTTCTTCCTTGGGGCCATCCCCTGGTACATTGGATTGTTTATTCTACTTTGTGCAAGAATAGACTACCGAGAGAAACCAGGATATATTGCTTGCACAATTGCTGTGAGTATCTTTTCTATCAGTTTTTTTTTTTTTTGCAATTTTTGAAAGCCATGCTGCATAGAACTGATTTTCATCTTTCTCATTTTGTATGTTAATGTTTTACCTTCTATGTAAATATTTTATCTGGTACGAACAGTTGTATCTTTGGGCTATTGTCAATCGCCCAAAGTTCAAATATACCTTCTCTCTTTTTGTTAGGTTCTTTTAAGTTTTGCTTTACCATCTAAAGAATTTGAGAAATGAAAGTGAAAGATCAGAAAATTTAGTTTATAAGTCAGAAGTAGTGAACAGATGAAAAAGAAATCTATATAGTTAGAATTGGTAATGAGGTTGCTCAAAGGTCATTAAATTCATAATTTTGATTATGTGAAAATGATCAGAAACTACGCGAAGTGCTTGCATAGGTTATTTATTCTTTGCAGGCTCTTGGTATTCATATCAATGTGCACAACTGGGATTCTAAATCAGGGCAGGGTAGTGATTATGAATCTAGAAACCTTATCCTGGTATGTAACTTTTACAACATATATTTGAGTGTGTGACCAGAAGGGAAATTTTGGGAAAGGCAGTAGATGGAAGACCACTTGTGTCATAAAGGGCTTTTCCTAATGAGGAATCTCAAAAATTGCACAAAGTTTCTTCCGGCATTAATGTCTCTGTCTACAGATTGCGTTGGCTTCTACATCTCTGTCTACAGATTGCATTGGGTTCTGCATATGTTGCTTAACAGGTTTAATAATCTCTAAATGGGTTAACCATTTTATTATCCTGCATTTTGGAAGTCTTGGAAACAGATTTGAGATTTCACACGATGCAAGTGGCTAAACTTACTATCATTGAATTCTGTGCTAATGTGCTGTCTGTTAATCAATTTGTTGTCAAAATTTACATGTTCTTAGTTTGATCTGTGGAATTGATTCTCACTATGTGGATGGGTTACTGCTCAAGAATAATAAATAGAGAGGTGTAAGCTATGCTTGGCTCACTCTCACTAAAGTCTAGTTGGAAAGTCCCTTGTATTCTTTCTTTTTCCTTGCTGAGAGCTTTTCCTTCTGTTCATCTTTTTTTTTCCCAGTCATTATCTCTTTTACAGAGATGATCTCCCATACAGCCTTGCTGCATATGTTGTAATAATATTTCTCCCAATTCGACTGGTTCTGCTTCTTGTTTAGCTTATGTTTTCAAGCCATTTTTTAAGTTGTCTATTAAATACCAATAGAGAAAAGAAATTGTCTGCCGCCTTTCTTCCTCTAGTGCAACCATTTTAACAAGACTGCTGCTTGTGCAGGCCATTCTGGCTACAATTGCAATTATTCTTGGTGTAACAAAGGGGGTTCATGATTGGTAAGCTCTTCCGAGAGTGTAAAGGATGGAAAATAATGTATATGCCTTTTCCTGAAAGCTATCTTTATGACAATTTGCTAGAAGATTTGTGTGAACTATTGTGGAAATCATGAATGATGGAACATCAGTAATATCTGTTTATTATCAGTGCTTGACAGCAATGCAGATTGTGAATTTTACTCTATAAAGTTTTACTTAGACTTATTAAGCAAATATGAACCATATATGTGCTAATTGTATCAGTATGCATGGTATCTATCTATACCTAACAAGGAAAACTTAGTTCAGTTGGATACTGTTAACAGAAGTGGGTTATTTTTTTGAATGTGAGTTACCACTGAATTTTGTAGCAGCTGGTTGGTTAAGTGGTTGAGGCTTTTGGCAAAGCAACAACCACACGCACTTTCCAATTACATATGATGTTCATGAAGAGCATATTTGCAAAATCATATGTTTCATTAGGAATGGCTGCTTTTTGCACTGTACAACACAGAATTCGAGCATCTTTTTTCATTGGTCATTGATATGGATGGAACCTGAAGTGAAACCGAGTTCACTTTGGAGCTTTTAATCATCTTCTCGGGAGGTGGATGAAGGTCATGATTGTGGTGTGTTGTTGTTGCAAGCTTTTGGACAATGGGAACTCACATGGTTTTAGCTACGTGTGAGCCATTTTCAAGATTTTCGATATGGTTAACAATTTCAGATGCCAAGCACTGAAATCGACATCGAAGGGTGTTGTTATAAAATCCATATTTTTCCATTATCTAATTATGCCGATGTGGTTAGTGCATTAGTTATTACTGAGACAGGCAGATTTTAAACATAAGATAGTATTGGGTTTGTAGTAATTTTCCTGTCAAAAAGCTAGTTTGGGATGGGATTCTACCCCTGTATGAATAGAAAGCACTCCAAGTCTTAGGCATCTCTAGCAGACGCTAATTGTGTAAATTATAGATAAGTATATTTTATTTATCCATTAATTCACCCTAAACCCCAAGTCAATTTTAACCTTACCTGCTAACCCTCCCAAAATTTTCAGTCTGGCTGTCGTTTAGCCGTGAGCTGCCGTTGCCACTCTCTTCTCTTTGCCGTGAGATTTTTGCCTCTTAGCATTAGATTTGTGCATCTAGAACGCAATTTCTTTGCTTAAATTTCAATTTGCATGGTCCTATTATTGTTATTATTATTATTTAATCCGAAGCTGCTGTTGATTTGTGAAGAAAAGGAAGTTTTTATTGTTGCACCATTGCATTTCTGGAAAAACGCATGATTGAATTGATTGTGTTTTGGGTTTAGTAGGAAATTCCAAAATCAGTCGAATAATTGTAAAGTTCGGAATAAAACACTTCAAAATAAACATATATTTTATACTTTGACAATCTTAATTTTATCGTGCATCTTTTCATAAATATGTTCTGTGTCGAATGTAATATTTGTTAGACATTTAATTTTTAGTATTTCGTTTTTTAATTTAAAACGAAAAGCGATTAATTGAACATTGATGAACATACATAGCAAACAACAATTTCAAGGTTCAATCGCTTTTATTCCTGAGGTTTTCAAGTGAACGGAATTATGATATTTATATATCTATATATATATTATTTGAAAAACATGTAAAACCAAACCATATAATTCTTATCAATGAAGTTATACGTTATTAATTTTTCCTCCTGTTACAATTGCTTACGTGAAAGAACCTAATCTAAAAGTTAAGCATAGCCATAATTTTTTTTAATAAATTAGCAATATAATTCAAAACTTAGATTTTTTGTTCTTTCCAAATTTCAAATCTTAAACCTAAAATTATGGGAACAATACATGTTATATCAATTAAATGTCCATTCAAAATCAATCACGTTAAGAGACATGTGCTCCAAGTTTAATTCTTTTTTCTTAATAACAAGAAAGCTTAATTTTATAAAGAAAAACAAAAGAAAAGGCACATTATATTAAGAAAAATAGTCTAACATAGTGTCAATAAAGTTTATCGACGGGATTAGAGATTTGTCACATATGCATTAAGATATATTTAAAAGAAATTAAAATATTAAAGGATTCCAATTTTTGCAGTGTGAAGTACATAAAAAAGGTATTAGGGTTAAAGAGAAAGTGACATACTGGCGTCTTGCAGGAAGTAAAGATGGCAAGGCGTTGCACGTGGAAGAGGCTGACGCGGGAGAGACTCAACAAGAAGTTTTCAGAGCAACCCTTGCCCAAGGTCCAAGAAAAGGAGGACATTAAAGAAGCTGCTCCTCCTCCTTCGATGCCACCTACTACTTCGAATGCAAGAGACGATATTCCCCCTCCACGCGCAATATTTGTTATTGAGAATGCCTCCCTCAAAAAGGGCTATGTCGGAAAGGTAAGACCCAATCTTTTTCTTTCCTCCTTCCTGTGATTATTAGATCATTTGCTCTGTGTTTACGGCTTTGCAAGTAATTTTTATTTTTTATTTTTAAAATTGCATTCGTCTCCCCATCTTTTAGAAGTGGAAGCTTTTGAATTCTGATGAAGATGATAGTTTCCTAAGGAAACAACGGAAGAACCTCGATGATTATCGGCCTGATATTGTTCTAGAGGTCCGTTGGTTGATCATCAAATTTTCAGTCTTATCATGTTGCCACCTTGCTTTGCTTAACCGGTTTTTATCCCTTTCTTATATGGTTAGGTTCTCAAAGAAATCTTCGCTACTCGGCTTAACGATAACGATAGGGTAAGAGCCATCTTTGTGAAAACTGACGACGGGCTTCTCTTCCATGTCAAACCACACGTTCGTATGCCTAGAACACACGAACCCTTCTATGGTATCGTGCTGTAGCTGTTGGAAAGAAAACGTGTACGAGTCCCAGAGACAAATGAAGTGCTCATTCAACAGCTTGACGGGCCTTTGACGCAGTGTTTACCTTCTAACTCTCGTGTAGTTGGGGGGTTTCATGCCTTTGTTTTATTCTTTGGAGTTGAATGTTTGGGGTACCAAATTAAAGCATAGCATTGCTGGAATTAATGCAGGACTCTCTTACAATGCAGAAAAAGTAATGGATATAAATGATTATCTTTCGACTATGGCTGATGATGTAACTCCTGTTTTCGTGGTATGTTTGTTGTTTTATTGAAGATGGAAAACGTCATGCTTGTTTCTGCTTAAATGTGTGTGTAGGTGGGTGCAATGGTTCGTGGGAAAGTTAACAAGACTGGTACAGATAATTACGTTTCAAGTAAGTTTTCGTGCAAATGGATTGTTTGACTGGTTTTTCATGTGTAAAGACACAAGGATTGATGGAACATAGAAGAATTTTCCTTTAATGATATCAAATAAGCTGGAATTTATTCTTTTCCTTTTACAGATTATATAGTAGATTGTTGAATGAAGAGTAGCTTTATATTTTCGTGCTATTATCTGTTTTTGCAAATTGCTGAAGACCAAGTGTTGTGGTCTTTTGTAATTGATTTAATCGAGTAATTATCATACATATATGGTGCTTAATAAGATGGGATGTTTCTAATTTCATGCTATTTCTGCTGATTGAGGATCATATACTTGCTATAGCTCGGAAATGTATAATGTTTTTGCTGCTGATCAAGGCAAGCTGTGGTTTGTTGTTGCAGTTTCTAATTATCCATTGAGTGCGGCGTACAGTACAGCATTGGTCTGCATAGCACTGGCAAACAAGTGGGAGCTCCACTAGTAAGTAGTAATGGTGGATGATTACGTTTTTCTTTCCATTTTAATCAACATTCATCATGTGTTTAACTTAAAGAAATTATAGGCACAGATTAGTTTTAAGACGAATTAACATACTTGTATTTAAGTTCCTAATTATAAATATCTTTAAGTTTTCTTATCAGTTCCTAATTGTAAATACTTATGTTAGCTTAGTGCAACATATCTCTTGTCCACCAACCACACTGACCCTTCTCACATCTAGTGTGATGCAAACAGTTTGAGTAGCATCGGTGTAGGGTATAGGGCGATTAGGACGTACGGCTGTGTTAAAGGGGAATAGAGATTCCAACTTTGTAACATATAATAGACCAAGTGCTGGCCAGTCTCATCAATAAAATTTTCAATATTTTTTAAAACCAAATAAATAAATAAAAAGCTTCTAAAACTAAATAATGGAGGACCAAAGAAATTCTACTAATTATTAAAGAATTATATTTCCAGAAAAACAAGTCTTGAATATTATGGGGTTTAGTGCTCCAACATATATAACTTCTGTCCAAACTCAATAATTTTAACCGAGTCTAATTTGTGGCAATCTAGACTCTGGTATTGCCTTCTCCCTTTTATCTTAAAGTGATGATAGAGAGAAAATTAAATAAAAAAAAACATTATATTTTTAAGAATATTTAAAATGACAATTTAAAATTCACTCTAATATATTATATCTAAACTTTTAAATAAACTTGTAATCTGTTCTTTTTGGACTATTGCAACTTGTGGCCCTATGCAATGGTAATAAAAATACTATAATAATAAGATACTTGAGGTGCAATTTTTACATGCTATCTTTTATTGTCTAATGTATTAGATAAGAAATTATGACACTCAATTTTCACGTATTAGATAAATTTTGTTATTATTAATTTATAATTGTTATTGAAAATATAGTTAATAATATTTATTTAAAATAATAATTTAAAAATAAAATAAAAAATAGTATTTTATTTTTATTAATAATTTTTTTACATATAAATAGATAGATACATTAAATAGTTATCAACATTAACTTCCAAGTTAGTATCCTATTATTATAAAATTTCATATTAACAAGTACACTTAAATTTTGTTCAATTTATTCTTTTTAATATTGAATTTTGTTCAATTTAATTCTTTTAGGTGGCACAAAAATTTTTTTGGGAAACATTTTTTTTTGAAGTCTGTTACATCATCACTGCTATGTCAACATGTCAGTGTCATGTTAGCATTTTATTTCCATGTTATTGCTATGTCAGCAAATTTTGACATATTAGCATGACGTCAGCAACAGTAACAATAAGATTAGACAATATTAGGGAAAGGAACTCAATCATATAAAAATTTAAAATCAATTGATTAAATTAATCAGTTTTAGGTAGATTTACTAAATTAACTAAAACACCATAATACAGAGACGTATTGAATACTTTGACCATATAATAATCAATTAAATATAAAAAACTATAGTTATATCAAAAGCTAATACTTTTTGTTTATTTATATAATTTAATTCAGCTAACTAATATTATGTGTAAGCCAAAAAGAGATTTTAATCAATTTTGACAACACAAGCAATTGAACAAAAAAAATTCAATATTAAGCAAAGGTTAAGAAAACTCGTGCAAAATCCATACAAAACTCGTGCTTTAATTAGGTAATAAAATATTATAGGAAACGTATTTATTTAGGCATAAGAATTATGACAAAATTATGAATATTTTTTTAGATTTTAAATAATGAATGATGGTCATTCAATTTAAAGAATTAAATAATTAGATTAAGTCTCATAGAAATATTTAACAATTACATGTTAAAAAAAATTTATCTTTTGTCCTAAAACAATTCTTTTCGACTTTTCAACTTTTCGGTTATTAACAATTAAGGCTATCAATAATAAAGGAGATTAAGAAAGTAACAATTATCAAGTAAATTATATTAAAAAATCATAAAATTTATATTTCGTAAATAGTATGTCTTTAATACTGTTATTAATTTTTTATGATTAATGTAGAATTTTAATTTTTGATACAATAACAACAATAGTTATTTAATATAAAAGCAAAAGATCTACTACAAGAAAATTATAGATCAAAATACACGTACCTCAAAAATGATTCAAGTACCTCATTTTCAAAAAAGATTAAATTATAAATAAAAATACAAGTATCTCAAAATGCAATTCAAATGTCTCACCTTCAAACGAATACACATTTCTTCTTTTTCTAGGGTTTTTGGTTTTTTAAAAATAGTTGCTAATTAATTATAACCGATTAAATAGCAACCATTTCCGTGGACATACTGACTCAATTTTCTTTTAAGGCACTGCCACTTATAGGATTTAGCAATGACCTGCTTTTGATGCATGTCATGAGCAATACATAATGAAAAAGTATAAAAAGCCCTTTTTATTTTCCTTAATTACAATTAACCCTTTATGTAAATAAAGGTAGTAAAAATACTATGACAATAAGAAATCTTGGCCCTCAATTTTCATGTGACACCCTTTAGCAAACTGTTAATGTATCAGATAAGAAATTTTGGCACTCATTTTTCACGATTATATATGTATTGGATAAATTTTATAACTATTAATTTATATTTGTTACACTTAATGCTTCATTTGAGTCTAAGTTTTGATTTGACAAACAAATGAATAGATAGAAAAATAAAAAAATTATATATTTTGGTTCATTTTGCTGTAACATGCTATCAATAGATAAAGAGAATAAATGTGTAACGTAAGAGACAGGTCAATTAGCATTTAAAGATATGTCAGTTTTGATTTGACAAATTTTGTAACTATTGATTTATAATTGTATTTTGGTTCATTTTGCTGTAACATGCTATAAATAGATAGAGAGATTAATGCATTTTCTTAGGTGTAATGTGAGAGATAGGTCAATTAACATTCAAAACTAGGTGCTTCTTCACCCTTTGACACGTTTTCTTTTCATGTCTTTTGTTACAATTGACGAGGATATTCCTTCCATATCAAACATTTTCACTATGATTTCTTCTCCTCACCAAACCTACTACACTTATATACATCTATCATTATCCTTTCATATCCCATCTTTTTCAAAGAAAGCAAAAGAGAGGAAAAAAAATGACATCAAACTTCGTTAAGAACGAGCCTTATGGCCTTGATTTGATTAGTAGGCTTCCTAACACACTTTCGTCTGAGATTTTATCACAGCTACCAATTGATGAAGTTGTACGAACAAGTATCTTATCAAGGCGGTGGAAAAGCTTATGGAGGTATGTTTCTCGCCTAGATTTTGATCCAAAACGAATGATGAAACCAAGCAAACATATTCTTTATCGGGAGAAAAAGAACTCGCATAGACATGGAATCGATAATTGTTTGAACCATGATGTAGAGAAAGAGCTTTTCAATGTTGTTATGATGATTGAGAAGGTATTGTTTTCTCATAGATGTAACTTGACTAGTTGCAAGATCATTCATTTTCCTGATAGCTGCAAAAATGGCCAGCTTAAAAAATGGATTGAATTTCTTGTATCAGAGAAAGGGATACAAGAACTAGCTTTCACTTGTGAGGAATTCCCTTTTCAACAAAACGTTATTGGTAGATTTACTGATTTAAAATTGAGTTTGCCATCAGGGATTTTCTCTTGTACAACTTTACATGCACTTGAGTTGACTCATTACAAACTTGAAACTGACTCCCCATTTGATCATTGCAATAATCTTCAAACCTTGAAACTTAAATTGTTGTTTCTTACAACTGAAACCCTTGATGGAATCATATCTAATTGTGCTTCTTTGGAGCATTTGAGCCTTTCCTTTTGTACCGGGCTCGATCGAGTTTGGATTGTTAGTGAGAATGTTAAAACTGTGGAGCTAGAGTACTTGAACGTGCATGAAATATACTTATCAACAATGTCCCTTGGTGTTTTGGTGCTTGATACTTTAAAATGTCCACCCAAAAATTTGGTTATCAATGCCCCAAATCTTAAGGTGTTTCATGCATATTGCAATGGAAAAGAAAAAGGTCCACACCATTTTCTCAAAGATCATGGACCTATGAAGGTTGCAGAAATTCTAGAGCATTGCAATGGTCTCTTAGTAAGCATTTTCACTAGCTGTTTTGTTTTTACTAAATTACACTATATTTCATATAATATCATATCTGATCATATGAATGGATTATTTTTGTTGACCTTAGAGACTTGGAAATGATCGAAGTCATCACTTAAAGGATGACTCAAGCTTGTTCGAAAATATATGGACACTATCAATTGACTTGGATTTGAACAATATAAGAGAAGTGTTGATACTTGCTATTGTTTTACGAGTTTGCACCCATCTGAAGCAACTTGAAATCAATATTCCGGTACGTCATTGCTAATTATATTTATCTTAATCTTGAGAAGCTATTTTATACAAAAAAATTTCGATTGAAGTATATACATATATATACTATCTTCTAGATTAAAGCTTAATTGAATGAAATGCATTCTGGTTTGTGTATTTTTAGGAAATAGATTGCGAATGGAAGATAGGAACCTCAGATCATGGTACCCAAAATTGCTTGCTTCCATATTCAGAGTCCATGTTATGGGATAAAAGGGAGCTATGTGATTGTATCACGCATAGCCTAAACATAGTATCCATAAATGGATTCAATGGAAAGAAGGGACAATTGGAATTTGTTAGGCATCTTATAACAAAAGCTACTGTGATGAAGAGAATAAACATCTGCTTCTTTGATAGCTGTTCAAGAGAAGGAGCTGAGGCAACACTTGAGTTATTATTATTGCCAAGGTCCTCCATCAATGTTTCTATAGTCTTGAAACCAAGCCCTGAATTTGTATCAACTAGGAATGGTGCAAATTTTGAAACATGGATCTCAACCCTCAAATAGTTTTATATATGTGTAGGATATTTATTCTCACTAAGACTATTAATTTATTTTTGTCGTTACAACTTTTGAACTCTTATGTATAATGTTAGTAATAGAATCAGATTGTGCCACCACGATCTATTTAGATACATGAGAACATGATTGGTATAATGTATCAAATCTAAACTTTTAAATAAACTTGTAAGCTTTTCTTTTTAGGCCATAGCAACTTGTAGGCCTTAGCAATGGTAATAAAAATACTATAATAATAAGGCATCCCAAATTTTATGTGCTACCTTTTATTGTCTGATGTATTAGATAAGAAATCATGACACTTAATTTTCATGCATCAAATAAATTTTGCTATTATTAATTTATAATTGTTATTGAAAATATAATTAATAATATTTATTTAAAATAATAATTTAAAAATAAAATGAACAATAATATTCTATTTTTATTAATAATTTTTTTACATATAAATAGATAGATACATTAAATAGTTATCAATATTAACTTCCAAGTTGGATCCTGTTATTATAAAATTCAACATTAGCAAGTACAATTAAATTTTGTTCAATTTATTCTCTTTAATAGTGAATTTTGTTCAATTTAATTCCTCTATCTGACATAAAAATTTTTTAGGAAACATTTTTTTTTGAAGTCTATTATGTCAGCACTACTATGTTAACGTGTCAATGCCATGTCAACAAATTCGACACATCAACATGACGTCAGCAACAATAATGATAAGATTAAACAACGTTAGAGAGAGTAACTCAATTGTATAAAATTTTAAAATCTAGTGATTAAATTAACCAGTTTTAGATAGATATATTAAATTGACAAAAACACCATAATGCAGGGACGTATTGAATACTTTGACCATATAATAACCAATGAAATATAAAAAACTATAAGTATATCAAAAGTTAATACTTTTTGTTTATTTATATAATATAATTTGGCTAACTAATATTATGTGTAAGCTAAAAAGGGATTTTGATCAATTTTGACAATACAAGCAATTGCACAAAAATCAAATTCAATGTTAAGCACAGTTGAGGAAAACTCGTACAAAATCTATGCAAAACCTGTGCATTAATTAGCTAATAAAATATTATAAGAAACCTATCTATTTAGGTATAAGAATTATGACAAAATTCATGGATATGTTTTTAGATTTTAATTAATGAATGATGGTCATTCAATTTAAAAAATTAATAATTAGACTAAGTCCTATATAAGTATTTAACAATTACATGTTAATAAAAACTTGTCTTTTATACTAAAACAGTTCTTTTCAACTTTTCAACTTTTCGGCTATTAACAATTAAAGATATTAATAATAAAGGAGATAAAAAAGTAACAATTATCAAGTAAATTATATTAAAAAATCATAAGATTTATATTTCATAGATGGTATGCTTGTAATAGCACCATTATTTATTTATGATTAATGCAGAATTTTAATTTTTGATACAATAACAACTATAGTTGTTTAATATAAAAGGTGATTAAGATACACGTACCTCAAAAATGATTAAAGTAACTCATTTCAAAAAAGAATTAAATTATAAATAAAGATATAGGTATTTCAAAAAGCAATTCAAATGTTTCACCTCTGAACGGATTCACATTTCTTCTTTTTCTATGATTTTTGTTTTTTTTAAATAGTTGCTAATTAATTCTTATGACCAACTAAATAGCAGCCCTTTCCCACATGGACATAATAACTTAGTTTTTCTTTTTTGAACCACTGCCACTTATAGGACTTAGCAATGAGCTCCTTTTGATGCACGTCATGAGCAATATATAATGAAAAAGTATAAGAAAGCCCTTTTATCTTGCTTAATTACAATAAACCCTTTATATAAATAAAGGTAGTAAAATACTATGATAATAAGAAGTCTTGACTCTCAGTTTTCATGTGTCACCCTTTAGCAGATCGTTAACGTATCAGATAGGAAATTTTGGCACTCATTTTTCACACTTATATATGTGTTGGATAAATTTTATAATTATTAATTTGTAATTGTTACATTTAACGCTTCATTTGAGTCTAAGTTTTGATTTGACAAACAAATAATCAAACTTGTTTTTCAAATGTTCAAAAAAGTCCAAATGGTCCTTGAAAAGGTTTAATGAAAGAAGTAAGCATTTTAAATATTAAACAAGCAAAAGCCTTTTTGAATTTGAAAATTGTTCTCAAGCTATCAATAGATAAGCTCATCTATCGATAGATGAAGAAAATCTAGCGATAGTTGACTATTTTAGCACCTGGATATCAGAGACTATGAATATTTATCAATAGGTGCTGTGCATCTATCGATAGATAGTCACCCAATAACAAAATATATCGACCTTGACTTGAATCTATTGATAAATACACGGTATCTACCGATAAATAGGCACCTAAGAATACTTCAAAAGGACCCTGACTTGCGTCTATCTATCAATAGATGGCCACCCAAGGATACTTTAAAATGATTTTGAGTTGAATCTATTGATAGATATTTACATCTATCAATAGATGGGCGCAAATTTTAAAATTATTAAAGGCAACCTATCGATAGGTTGAGAAATTTATCGATAGATGATGATCGTTAGCGCCTAGAACAGTGTGTTGGATAACTATTTTCACAATTAATGCAATCTTAACCATCTCTGAAGCTTCAACAACTATAAATTCAAGCTCCCACAACATTTATGAAAGTTGGAAGACTTTGAAACACAACTCCATAAATAAGAATTCAGCCAAAATCATTCAATTGGCCTTTTCTTTAGGACATCTCTTTTGGAACATAAATTTGCTCGAACTGGACCTCTTCTTTCTCTACCTCTTCCTTGGATGGCATTCACTGTTGGGGTATTCCTTCTATTAAAGCAAGTGAGTCCCTTTGGTCTAAGAACCATATTATTAGTCTTTCGTGTGGCTTCCATGAAGGTAACAAAGGTTGGAAGAGGTAGATTCTCCAAGTGTAGCTTGTATTCATCAAACATCCCTTGAATGCATACCTTTACCAACTCTTTCTCATCATGAGATTCTTGTATATCCAACACACTTTCTCTAAAGCATTGAATGTACTCCATAAAGTCCTCTTTAGACTTTTGAAACTCTATTCCAAGATCAATGAGGGTAACTTTCTCTTGAGTAGAGAAGAACTTTTCCCTAAACATCCTACACATCTGATTCTAAGATTGAACAGAACTAGGAGTAAGGTTAACATACCACGTCTAAGCCTTCTTAGTGAAAAACTTGGAAAACTCTTTCAACTTTAGATCATCATCATATCCAGCAACTTTAAGAGTCTCCATAACTTTCATGACATGTTCATGTGCATCTTTAGTCTTCCCATTAAATTGTCTGATCTTGGAGCTAGTATAGTCTTTCGGGAATGGTTTTGCAGTTACAATGGCCAGGTAAAGCAACTTGAGATCAAACTCAAAAAAATTCAAGCTCTTGTTCTTTTGATCTAACAACCTTTAGAGCTCTTTCATTGTCACAAATCCTTAAGTAGGAGCAAGTAGGATTATTGCAGTAGAGGTAGTTGCTAGGGTAAATGTAGTAGTGGGGTTGGTAGGATTAGGGTTTGCAGCAACTACTACATTAGCTGCACCTTCTCTATTTTCTCTATTCCTTTCAGTGTTTATAACTAGATAAATGACTCTGTCGAGTGTACTCTAATTAAGGTGCATAGGTTAGGCTTGAAAAGTGGTGATAGTAGAGGACGCGAGTTAAGATATAGTGTCCATCATTTGCCTATTATTGTCCTGCAATGTTTACATCCTTTCTTGAAAAGCTTGGATCATTTTCATCAGATCTTCAATGTAGGAAAGAACATGTGCATCTTAGTTGCCAATGGAATGCTATATCTTTTTCGATAATAAGAAATTGTAGTAGTAAAAGTCTTACTTAATGCAATCACTCCTCCCTAGTGGAGTCGCCAAAATGTAAAGGAAGTTCTTGTAATAAGAAGAGAAAGCGTTGCAAAGAAGTAAGAGATGTACTAGAGGTGACAGAGAGGAAGATTGGAGTAGTTCTTGTAGTACTGAATGTCGTGGTAGGTGGAAGAAAACAAGAAGAGAATAGGTGCTTTGAGTAAAAATAGGCTAGAAAGAAAAGCTTTAAGTGAGAGTTAAGGAGTTTTGAAAGCCCAAGACCCCTTTTTGAATTATGAAGGCTCTATATATAGTGTCAAAAGTAACAGTTATAAGAAAAGGCTTTAATACACGTAATGAATGATTTCATTAAAAGAGAATTTTAATGTTAGGTGACCATTACTAAGAGTTAATGTTGAGTAACGGTTAGAAACTTATTATGTGACTGTTAAAGTAATTATATTTAATAAGACTTGTTCTTAAGTAAGAGTTAATAGAGAAGAGATGTACATGAACAGGTACAAAAGAGAAAGCTGTACGTGAATAAGTAGAACAGAAAAGGTTATACATGAACAGGTATAAAAAAAGAAGCTATATGTGAATAGGTACAAGAGAACAACTTAATAATAGGAAACACTTGTACTTCAAAAAAGGGTTAAGAACTCGCATAAACATGGAATCAATAATTGTTTGAACCATGATGTAGAGAAAGAGCTTTTCCATGCTGTTATGATGATTGACAAGGTATTGTTTTCTCATAGATGTAACTAGACTAGTTGCAAGATCATTCATTTTCTTGATAGCTGCAAATATGGTCAGCTTAAAAAGTGGATTGAATTCCTTATATCAAGGAAAGGGATACAAGAACTAGCTTTCGCTTGTGAGGAATTCCTTTTTCAGCAAAACTTTATAGGCTGATTTACTAATTTAAAATTAAGTTTTCCATCAGGGATTTTCTCTTTTACAACTTTGCACGCACTCGAGTTGACGCATTACAAACTTGAAATCGACTCCTCATTTGATCATTGCCATAATCTTCCAACCTTGAAACTTAAATGGTTGTTTCTGACAACTGAAACCCTTGATGGAATCATATCTAGTTGTGCTTTTTTGGAGCATTTAAGCTTTTCCTTTTGTTATGCAATTGATCGAGTTTGGATTGTTAGTGAGAATGTTAAAACTATGGAGCTAGAGTACTTGGATGTGCATGACATATACTTATCAACAATGTCCCTTGGTGTTTTGGTGCTTGATACTTTAAAATGTCCACACCAAAATTTGGTCATCAATGCCCCAAAGCTTAAGGTGTTTCGTGCATGTTGCAATGGTGAAGAAAAAGGTCCACACCATGTTCTCAAAGATCATGAACCTATGAAGGTTGCAGAAATTCTAGAGCATTGCAGTGGTCTCTTAATAAGCATTTTCACTAGCTGTTTTGTTTTTACTGAATTACACTATATTTCATACAATATCATATTTGATCATATGAATGAATTGTTTTTGTTGGCCTTAGAGACTTGGAAATGATCGAAGTTATCACTTAAAGGATGAGTCAAGTTTGCTCGAATATTTATGGTCATTGTCAATTGACTTGGATTTTAACAACATAAGAAAAGTGTTGATACTTGCTATCATTTTACGAGTATGCACCCATCTGAAGCAACTTGAAGTCAATATACTGGTATACCATTGCTAATTATATTAATCTTAATCTTGAGAAGTTGATTTATACAAAAAATTTTCGATTGAAGTGTATTTATTATCTTCTAGATTAAAGCTTAATTGAATGAAATGCATTCTAGTTTGTGTATTTTTAGGAAATAGATTGTGAACGGAAGGGAGCAACCTCAGATCATGGTACTCAAAATTGCTCGCTGCCATATCCGGAGTCCATGCTATGGGATAAAAGGAAGTTATGTGATTGTATCACGCATAACCTAAATGTAGTATCCATAAATGGGTTCAATGGAAAGTAGAGACAATTGAAATTTGTTAGGCATCTTATAACAAAGCTACTATGATGAAAAGAATGAATATCTGCTTCGATGATAGTTGTTCAAGAGTAAGAGCTGAGGCAACACTTGAGTTATTATTATTGCCAAGGTCCTCCATCAATCTTTCTATAGTCTTGAAACCAGGCACTGAATTTGTATCAACTAGGAACGGTGCAAATTTTGAAACATGAATCTCAACCCTCAAATAGTTTTATATATGTGTAGAATATTGATTCTCACTGTGACTACCAATTTATATTTGTAGTTACAACTTCTGAACTCTTATGTGTAATGTTAGAAATAGTATCAGATTGCACCGTCATGATTTATTTAGACACATGAAAACATGATTGGTATTGATTTTATTGCTATATATGTCTCATTACATCGAATATGTTGCTATGAAAACATTTACATAGATGATGTATGCTCTCAAACAATATTTATGTTTGCTTTAAAATAATTATAGTTTTGATTATGATAAAATAATCAAATTTGCTTGAACTTAAGTGATCTTTCACAATAAGAAAATTGATTTTTTTTATGAAAAAAATTTCGTTGACATCATTCCGTTGGAAATTTCTAACGGAATTTGGACGAAAATTTCTTTTGAGTTTTTAATTTACATTTTAAAATGTTTAAATGTATTTCATAATGGCATGTTTTTGTTAAAATTTTCAGTGGTAAACATGAATGGGAATTACTCTTGATTGTCATATTCTATGAACTTATAATTACAAAATGGCAGGAGATCGATCTTAGATGTACTGTCAACTAACTTTTAATGGCTTCATTAGAGATGAATTTATAAATGGAGTTAAAGAATGATTGATTTTGCATTTTCGAACCCTACATTTATGTGGGAGAATAAGATGAGATCCTCTTACTCTTGGTATAGTAACAACAAGTTTTTAAATTCTGATAAAATGGTGGAGCTCATCTTGAAAAAGGGTTTTACTGGTGCTTACACAATATGAAGTTTACATAAGGAACATGAAGTTAGACAATCATTAAGAAGTGAAGATAGAGGTAAACCATATGCTAGTCATTGGGAACATGGGGAATATGAAGACCCTACATATGAAGAGGAAATAAAAATCCATATGCTAGAATGGTTAAGGATGCAATGGGTCCGGAAGTTGCTTTAATTCTAGTTTGATAATGAATCAAGGTTTGTGAAAGAAGATTCAAATCCAAATGTATGTAGTTTCTACTTCTTGTTGAGTAACGCGGATGAACATTTGTGGTCAGGTTACACAAAGTACACAACGCTTTCAGCTATATCACAACTTTTAAATATTAAATCAAAATTTAATTTAAGTGAATCATGTTTTGATTGTCTATTGGAGATAATAATAAATATGTTGCCATTAGATGAAACTTTTTCTTTTATAAAATGAAAAAAAAAGTGGAAAAAATTGGACTTGAATATATCAATATTTATGCTTGTAAAAACAATTGCATCTTATTTTATAAGGAAATTGCTGATTTGGACCATTGTATGATATGTGGTCATCTTTAGTGTAAATTGATGAAATCAAGTGTCAAAAGGTAGAAGAAAATACCTTACAATATTTTGCATTACTCGCCACTTATACCAAGGCTTTAAAGGCTTTATATGTCAGGAGAAACTGTTGAAAATATGATGTGGCATATGTAAACCCAAAGTGATGATGGAGTACTTAGACACCTTGTTGATGGTAAGGCTTGGAAACACTTCAACCATACACATGAGTTATTTGCAATGGAACCCTGAAATATCATACTAAGGTTATGTACTGACGGTTTCAATCCTTTCGGACTAATTGCAAAACCCTATTCGATTTAGCCAATTATACTTTTTGTGTACAATTTACGCACATTGATGTGTATGAAACAACCATATATATTTCTTAATATGGTTATTCCAAGGAAGATAAGTTCAAGCCCAACTATAGATGTTTTTTTGAGGCTTTTGATAGATGAGTTGAAAGTATTATGGACTAAAGGTGTTGTCACGTATGATGTCTATTGGAAACAAAATTTTCAAATGATGACAACATTATTATGGACAATTAATGATTTTCCTATTTATGATATGTTGTCAGGATGGAGCACTCATGGACGATTATCATATCCTTATTGCATGGAACGTTCTAAGCCTTTCATATTGGATCATGGAAGGTAACCTTGTTTTTTTTGTTGTCATCAGTAATTCTTGCCACCTAATCATCCTTTTAGGAGGTAGAGAGATAAATTTCTTAGGAAAAGAGTTGAGCGAGACTTCTCAATTCCTTGCTTATCAAGTGAAGAAATATTGTCACAATTGAATTCGCTTCTTGATATCCCATTTGAAATAAAATGTGGTAAACAAAAGATTTTGAGTTACGATGTAAGTCATAATTGGGCGAAAAAGAGTATATTTTTGGATTTACCTTATTGGTATACATTTCTTATTCATCATAATCTAGATGTGATGCATATTGAACATAATGTATTTGGGAATATAAACAACATAATAATAGATGTTAAGGGCAAGACAAAAGACAACTTAAAGGCACGCTATGGTTTAAAGGTGTATTTCAAGCGTCTAGAATTGGAATTGGTGGAAAATAATGAAAATTTTTTCAAACCTAAGGCTTCGCACACTTTAACCAAGGAGAAAAGAAAAATTATTTGTGATTGGGTGAAACAATTAAGATTACTTGATAGTTTTGTGTTGAACATATCTCGGTGTGTTAACAAGATCGATTGTAAATTTTATGGGATGAAAAGTCATGATTGTCATTTTTTTGCAGCGATTGCTCTTAATTGTTTTTCATTATATGGGGCTTCACTCTATTTGGGATGCAGTTATTGAGATATCTCATTTTTTAGGGATTTATACTCAACTGAAATACCTATAGATCACTTGGAAGCTTTGGAAGGAAAAACATGTGAAACTATATGCAAACTAAAAAGGCTTTTCCTCCCTGTTTCTTTGACTTTATGGAGCATTTGCTGATTCATTTACCTTACGAGGCAAAGGTTGGTGGACTTGTCCAGCATTGATGGATGTATCCATTTAAGAGGTAGTATATCTATTATTTGTTTTCAAATAGTTTATTAGAAGAGTTTAAGGTACTTATTAAGTTTTATGAATACTATGATGTTTAGGTTTTGCATGATTTGAAGAACAAAGTGAAAAATCAAGCCTTTGTTGAAGGATCTATATGCAAAGCTTATATGATCAAGAAAATCTCCTCGTTTTGCTCATTGTATTTTGAACCTTCTATGCAAACAAGACTAAATCTAGTGCCACGTAATAATGATGGGGGAGACGTGGACTTTCTTAGTCATCTTTTGATTTTCACTCATCTTAGACAAGCTATTGGTTTAGTAGTAAATCTCAATTTTTAGATGAGGATGAGTTTTATCAGTTGAGCTATATCTTTTAATAAATTGCGAAGAGATGCTCCATGTATTGAATAAGTACCATTCTACCACAAACCCAAATAATTGATTGTAAAAATAAACTTAATCTATAAATTATGGATATGATGATAAGATATTTGATGAAATGGTGAAAAGAGATATCTATATATCGAAAGATGAATTGGAGAAAGTACGTGATACAAGATTCGTGAAATGGTTAAAAGAGTATGTAAATTTATATAAATTAAAAGTGAACTTTTAATAACAAATATGTATTGCTTATTTAAATTAACCATTCTTGGTCTTATATTGCATGTTGGTAGGTTGCAGAATGTAGGGATGAAATTGATCTATGTACACTTGAAATCTCTCATGGTCCAAGACATATAATAAGATGTTACAAAGGATACTTTGTAAATGGTTTCAAGTCTCACACCTTAGATTATGGGTAAAATCGTAAGACAATTAATAGTGGGGTATGCTTAAAAAGGAGTTTTTATAATGATTATGAGCATGACTTTTATGGTATCTTGGTGATATAATCGAGTTGGAGTATTTTGGTATCAAAAATAGAGTTGTGTTATTTAAGTGTCATTGGTTTGATATTGAAAAGGGTATTAAGGTATACCCTTTTCATGATCTTGTTGAAATTAAATACAACTCAATACTTGCTACTAATAAACCATTTGTTTTAGCTAGACAAGCTTACTAAATTTATTATAGTAAATATCCATCAACCAAAAGAAATCAACATGATTAGTGGGTAGTATTTAAAACAAAAGCTAATAATAGATTTCACCTTCCTAATAGTGGAGATAGAGAAAATGAAATTGATTTGAATGAAGAAGTATACCAAGAAAATGATTTATCTATTCCAATTAATGTTACTCCCTTAGAAGACCTTGATAACACTATAATTTTAGTAAATGGTGATTATGAAGAGGTCAATCTATTGATCGAGGATGAAGAAGATGACATGCAAGGAGATAAAGATGGAAAAAATGACATACAAGAAGATGAAGAAGAAATTGAGGATGAATATAAGTAAACTTTTAGTGGTGATAATGATAACAATGAAAAGAATGAGTTTGCTTATTTTGAAAGTGTTGATGATGGTAAACATATATGTTATTGGTTTTGTATCTTTTGTTACACAATTGTTTAACTTAGTTATTAATATTGAAAGATCTTGACATGTTATAAAATTATTATAGTTTATATTTTCAATATTTGAAATGATACTTTATAATGACATCTTTTGTTGTACGCATGATTAGGAATTAATCTTGATTGTAGTAATTTGATGATTTTTATAATTTGTTTCAATTTTTAACATTTGTATATGAATTTTTTATAAATAATATTGCAGGAACGATGGTTAAATGGAAGCATTCAAAATCGAAACCTAGAGCAACAAATGCCTCTAAAATTATATCTTTGCCTACAAATACCAATGCATTTGTTGATCCATTCAGTCAACCATAGATGCAACAAGTTAATGATGTGCCCTTGGAGCCACCCTCTTCGTTAGGTGCATCTGCAGAGCAAGAAGATAATGTGATATCTACTCACGATTCTCAGGGATCCACATCCATTGATTTAGGTGCAAGTGGAAATCGTACATCCTCAAGGTCAAGGGTAGGGGGCCTGGTGTAGGATTACAGATTCTTATAGATCCATCTGAAAAATTATGTGTAACTCTTATTGGAGAGAGATATGTTATCTTGTATTTTAATGATATAGTTATATTTGTTATATATTTTACTATGCAATAATTTTCTTTTATCTTGTACAAGTACTTTTTGAGCAAGGGGTCATGGCTATAATAACATAAATCATAAAATGTCACTTCCACGGTCTATGGCTGACATGGAAGAAAGTCCCTAATGACGTAAAGGAGTTAATGTTTAAAAATTTTCAAGTATTATGTTTGTTATTCAATTAAATTATAACTTTTTATTTTCAATTAATTTGTATCAATTTTTTATTTAGTTTATTATTTTGATGTAGGAAAAATGTGTTTGGCCTACAAATCAAGATGTTTTGGTTCGATAGATATGGGATAAAATTTGTTCCGATTGGTTAAGAGAAATTCTTTCAGAAGAAAGGAATAAAGTAACGACAGAAGCCAACACGAACAACATTAGGGACTGCAAAGGCATATCAAGGGAATGGATTACAAATGAAATTTGGGATACCTTTATCGATATGATATGGTGTACATAAGAATGGCAAAACAAATCGAGCAAAGCAAGGCAAAATCATTGAATGCCAAAAGAATGAAGCATTTTAAAGCACATTGGTAGTTCAGTTTCATTCATTGTTCATGCAAAAAGGATGGTATGAATTAATCTTACTTGACATTTATATGTATAGTTTTCTTTCAATCTAAATTTAATTTGTATGTTAGTAGTTTGACTTGGTTTTTCCTTACATGATATATATAT